TAGGTGATGTGACTTGATGTGCCACCAAAGACAAGCAAGCCACCATGGGCATTCTTCCCCGCTGGCAATTGTTCTTGTTCTCACGAGCTATGCTGGCTATGCTCTCTCTAAGGCAAGGTGGCAGACACAGGCATGTCGAAGGCGATTCTGAAGTCGAAAGTACCGGAGCCAGAATGGCAAAATTGGAATCTTGCTTTGGACCTACTTGGGGTCCAAGGGAAGGTGGACAAGGACCGAGATGGGTCCGAGATGGGTCCGAGATGGGTCATGGGTCCGATGCTCTCGATGAATTACTTCGTTGAAGAGCAACGCTCCGTTTCTCTTGTTTGGATCTCTTCGGCTGCGGTGACTCATTGTGCTTGCACCAACGTAAAGAGAGTAACGTGACCTGCCCTTCTACAGGTTGCCCGAGTCAAAGGCAGGAACAAAGAGTTCTTGGTCCAGCTGCATGGATTTGCCCTTGCCCTTATCAATTCGCATGGCATCATGCCCACAACGAAGGGAAAGAAGAGGATCGATCCTCCTGGTTGATTCACCAGAACGGCATGACCATCCAGCCTGTCACCAGAACCCGGTTTTCGGATGGATCGCTAGGGTTTGGTTGGTTGGGCTTGGCTTTGGCTTGTTTCGGGTTTGGGGTTTGGTTGGTTTGGCTTTTGTTTTGGCATTGCTTTGGTTGTGTATGGCTTGGTCTTGGCGTGTTTAGGCTTTGGTTGGTTTGACTTGGGTTGTGTTTGTTTCGGGTATGGTTTTGCAACTGTGGGTCTTTTCCCAACCACCCGACCTAGCTCATCCCTCTTGGACGTGAATTGTTTGAGGTAGCTGCCTCAAAGACGAAACATATATCTCCAGTGAAATCGGATTCGGCAGCGACTTTCGGTTTTGAAGTCTTCGGCCCTGAGATTCGATCCGCTTTGAGCGCAAAAAGCAAGCGCGCGCCAAGTCCTGCGAATGGCAGGAAGCCATCTTGAAGACGAGGATGCTTTGCCCGGAAGTGGCTGATTTCCTTTGCCTCCACATGGCCGCAGAGAGTGCTTTCTCAAGGCCACCCGTTCGATCATCATGGCTTGAACAGGTGGTTTTAGCCGTCAACAAGGATACCCACACCCGATCTTGACCACATAAAGGGTATAAGAGGGTATAAGATGGTATAAGATCAGACAGATGAGATCACTGCCAGCTGGAAACCAAGAGCAGTGTTGGTGAATAGAGTTGGGCCTTGTGGAGATGAGCATTCTTTGCAATTCTTTGGCACATTCAATTTGGACGGAATCCAAATTGCTTCGGAATGCCTTTCCAGAGAGACCAGCGGAAATCCCAGGCCAACTCCCATGGTCCTTTTCTCATCCTCGCGCGTGTCAGGGATGGTGTTCTGCAAATGATGTCGGAGTTGAAGGACTTCCGACCACGTACCTGAAGGTCGATTTGCAGAATGAATCTGAATCTGTGCCAATGTCTCATAGACTTCGAGTGTGCTCATGGTTTTCCACGAGGTGTGGAAGGATGTGCACAGGTGTGGAACATGGGTCCGTTTCTTGGGGGATTTCTGGGGTACCAGTTTTTTTTGGAAAGGAGCAACACTTGCCACCTCAGTTGGTATCGACCGTATTTCCACACCCACGAACTTAAAAACCTGTGCTTCGCCTAGAGGCGAATGACTCTTTAGCAGGCTGGTCGGTGGAAACCGCAAGAGAAGCTGCTGCCGCTCAAGCAATCCCACACAAGGACCACTAGGAACCTGAACCAAGCCACAACTTGTTTCTGCTTCTCTGTATATATCTGACCGGCAACCTAAAATTGTTAGGGCTGAGCACAGATGATAGGCCGCACACCATTCAGCCCTAAAGTCTGTCGACAGAGGTTGAGGGAGATCGGCAGCATGGGTTGTCTTTCGTTGAAAGTGATGAGATGCCAACGAGCAGTGAGGTATCCACCAGGCTTCTACTCATTCTACTCCCTCACAGGGAGTTGCTAACGTGAATGAGTGACAGAAGTGAATCTCTTGCTTGGCCAATTTGCCGGTCTTGCCGCTAAGGTGCTCAACTGCAAGAACTCAAAATCAGATTCAACAACGACCAAGACCCACGACCGCAAAATCTTGGTACCAATTGTTGGGATGTGGGATCAGAGTCGAAGCAACCTGCAGAGAATGATGCCCATCGACCGACCCAAACAGCTTACTGTTAGAGTTTCTCAATTCCTTCTTAAGATGTGTCCGCCCTTTCTGTCACTGCTGGTGTCCGCCTTTTCCGCTGGCCATGCAGCAATTCTATTCATTTGTCTCCCAGGTGACTCTCTCAGGTGATTTCTTTACTTTTGTCTCCCAGGTTCGGTGCCTGTACTGCTGGTGTCCGCCCTTTTCCGCTGGCCATGCAAATCTTTTTTAATTTGTCTTCCAGGTGACTTCTTTGCTTTTGTCTGCCAGGTTCGGTGCCTGTACTGCTGGTGTCCGCCCTTTTCCGCTGGCCATGCAAATCTTTTTTAATTTGTCTTCCAGGTGACTTCTTTGCTTTTGTCTGCCAGGTTCGGTGCCTGCACTGCTGGTGTCCCCCCTTTTCCGCTGGCCATGCAGCATTTCTATTCATTTGTCAGTCAGGTGATTTCTCTACTTCCCCAAACAGGTTACTGTTAGGGGTTCTCAATGCTTTCTAAGGGTGTCCGCCTTGCTGCGTCAGGCTTGTCACCCTCTGTCTCCCTTCTTGTTGGTCATTGTGTCCGCCTGGTCTCCCTCCTGTCTCCCTGTGTCTCCGGTCTTGTCTCCCTTCTTGTTGGTCACTGTGCCTCCCTTGTTGTTGGTCATTGTGTCCGCCTTGTCTCCCTCCTGTCTCCCTTTGTCCCCGGTCTTGTCTCCCTTCTTGTTGGTCACTGTGTCCACCATGTCTCCCTTCTGTCTCCTTTTGTTTCCCTTCTTGTCTCCCTTCTTGTTGGTCACTGTGTCCGCCTTGTCTCCCTTCTGTCTCCCTTTGTCTCCAGTCTTGTCTGCCTTCTTGTTGGTCACTGTGTCCGCCTTGTCTGCCTTCTGTTTCCCTTTGTCTCCCTTCTTGTCTGAGGCGGACACAGCAGCCCAGAGCTGGAGACAAATGTAAAGGATTGCAAGGCAGAGGCGGACACAGCAGCTCAGAGCTGGGTGACAAACGTGACTGCAAGGCAGAGGCGGATACAGCAGCTGAGAGAGATGTACAGGATTGCAAGCGAGAGGCGGGCAGAGCAGTCCAGAGCTAATGTGAAGGATTGCAAGGCAGAGGCGGACAGAGCAGCCCAGAGCTGGGAGACACTGGAAAGGATTGCGAGGCAGAGGTGGACACAGCAGTGCAGAGCTGGCGGGCACATGTAAAGGACTCTCCGGTCTTGTCCTCTGGGCTGCTGTGTCCTCCTCTGCCTTGCAATCCTTTACATGTGCCTCCCAACTCTGAACTCCTCTCTCCCCCTCTCGCTTGAGACCCTTCACATTTGTCTCCCAGCTCTGGACAGCTCTGCCCTGCAATCCTTTACATTTGTCTCCCAGCTCTGGGCATGTCGCTTGCAATCTGTGCATTGCAATCCTTAATTTACAGTTGACCCCCAGCTCTGACTGCTGTGTCCGCCTCTGCCTTGCAATCCTTTGTCTCCCAGCTCTGGACGTCGCAAGCTCTAGTTGCAGAGTGTTCCGCTTTTGAAAAGCACGAACTGTTTGGGGTCTACGGTGTAATTTGTCAACACTTTCTTTGGTGCCTCGGTCCTCCCATCCAACGTGTTTTTTCGAGTTTTTTTGGTTCCTTTTCACTTGACGCTGTGAGCATTCGTTGTGCTCACATGATATCGGTCGCATTCCTTGGGCTGAGTGGTTAGGCCTTGTGTTGTCTGCCTCACAGTTTCGCCCCGAGAATTCAGTGACCGGATGAGTGACATGTCCAACAGCATATTGAATGGCTGCTTGCGTCCCAGTAAACCAGCAGCAGTCGACAAAAGAGTATCATCATCCCTCTTTTTGAGAAAGGCTTGCAACCGAAGGATATACATATGAAAATGCATTGTGGTTTGTGTCCAAGATTTAAACAGCAGAGTTGGACCATGAAGATTGACATTGAACAAGAACGAAGGTTGCGAAAGGGTTTCAAATTGGAATGTCATTGCCGGTCACTGGACACCATTCTTTTCGGAGCAGATCTTGCCGATCTTGCCCCTTCCGTTGAAGGCCGATTCCCAATTGTTGGGATTTCTCTTTTCTGCGGGCTTTTGGAGCCCTGCAAACAGGGAACATGTAATGTAGATAGATGAAGATGCGGCCACCAGTTGGAACTGGAGCTTCAACGATTTACCAAGGGTTGCAAGACCTCAAGAATGTATAGATCCGTTAAGATTATTGTAGAAGGAATTCTCAGTTCAAACAACATTATGGCGTTGGATGAACATTTGCATGATGTAAAGCTTGAAACAAACCATGTAGCTACTCAATTTGCTCAGGAACACCGCATCTTCTGCAGGATCGGCATCGAAAAGAGCCGAACCTTTTAATATACATGGAGTTCAGGACATTTCCGAAACGAACGCTTTCGAAGATCGGGTGTGGGAAATAACACAGCTCGAGGCGGAAGCAAGGCATGGCCATTGCATCGAATGAACAGAATGTCGATACCTTGTTTGTCGTGTGTTTGCTTTTGACCATAAACGCATGGTGGCCATTTCGTTCGGATCTTTTCGACTCACTTACTGCATCGCCAGCTTCGCAGACGTGCTCGGTGCGAAGAACGGTGGAAATCACGCCGTTCCGTTGTCGACTTCAGATTTGCAGCATATCCGTGTACGGCATATCGGTGTACGGATTGCGGCAAGAGTTGAGTTATGGGGTCGTTTGGTAGAGGAGGCCCCCGACGTCGCAACATGTGGTCGTCCAGTCTCAAGGAATGAGGGAAGCTTCAGCCCCGATTCCTTTGGATCATTTTGGATCTAAATTCCCTACTAAGCACGAGTCAGAGAAAGCTCTTGGCCAAGCACTGGATCCCAGTTGTGGACCAATCCAGGTGGTCTTTGCAGATGCGGCGGCGCACAAGGACGGTCCAGATGGGGGGAGTTGCCTCACTGAGCTAGTTCAAAGAAAGGTCTAGAGTCTAGAACAAAGAAGGACAGCTCTAAAGCAAAAGAGTGCTCTAGAGCTGTCTTTAGAGCCGTCCTTCTTTTTTTTTTGATTCTATAGTTTAGAGCAAAAATCAAGAAGGACGGCTCTAAAGGAACACATTCCAAAAGGAAGAGGACCTCTGGTAGAAGACTTGGATCGGCATTTTTCCTTGCTTATCTACGTGGAAGTTTGTGTGCCACCTTGTGTTCTTGGGTTTGTTGTTCGCAACGGAGGGCATAAACTTGAAAATTGCCGAAGCCTTGGAAATTCGAACTTCGCTTTTGGGTTTGGAGGTTTCACTCTCAATTACCTTAGGCTCAATTACCTTAGGCAATGGATGAAGCTGCACTCTGATGAGCTATATTCCAAACAACAACTCAAAGTATGAGAGGGAGCAAGTGACTGATCGTCGGGCAAATTGAAACTCCAGGCCCTTTGAAGATACAATGCTTGTTGTTTTGGCCTGTGTTGGGTAGATTGTCTTTCAGTGAGGAGTGGAGGACAAATCTTACTCTTAGCTTCCGAATCTCAGCAAAGAAAGGGTTCTTTCAGTCTCCTCTCATGGATATTCCACAGTTTCCTCCATTGGTTCTGGAGCCGTTGTGGAGACCAAGAGTGCCGAAGTGTGTTCTCTGAGTTCTGAGCAGATGGTGGTGCTGGAGGTGGCACAAAGATCTTTGGAAACAAGAAGAAGCAAGAAAGAGTTGCCATTGGACGCCTTGTTTTGCTTCGTGTTTTGCTCCACATTTTTCAAATTTTTGGGATCTGAAAGGAAGACTGCTCTCCGAGAGTTGGTTCGTGATGAACGACACAGGACTATCTCCTCATGCTTGGCGCACGTGAGTTCCCAGCGCCTTGGTGGAAACCGCAACCGATGTGTGTTGTCTTTTTTTCCTGTGAAGCCTTAAGGCCAAAGATGGGGGGCGTTCGAATGCGTTTGGACCCAACTTTGGTTGCTGTTTTGCGTTTTTCTTACTTCATCTTCCTTTAGTTAGTGGTTGGCTCCTTTTCCTGGAGTGCAAGCTTCCAACTGAGACCCGTTCGTGTGCCACCGTGGGCACGCATTTTTCTCCGCTACACGTCACATGTCCGGGGTGACCCTTTGGACGATGGCAGGTCGACGTCCCATGAAACTGTGCAGATGCGGTGCAAATGGGTGTGCATTGAAATAGGGAGACCTCCAGTTGGGCCAGGGGGTCTCGGTTGAACTTCGTGAAGGGCAAATCTTTGACCTCTTTGACTGCCCCAAGCATTCCTCCGGGCCACACCGAGGGAAGCTCAGCTCGAGCGTTTGTCGCCGAATCCCAGGTCTTCCTCCTGCAGAAAGGCACGCTGAGCGCCATCGAGGTCGGGGAGATTGAGACGAGTCTTGGCTGAAAAGCGAGGGATGCGGATGGAGTTCTTACGGATGCGGAGTCCTGCGGAGTCTGGTGGCTCCTGGCATCGCTACTAGGAGCAAGAAGCTATGAATGGGGCTCCTGGCCGTACTACTGGGAGCAAGGACGCTACTACAGGCCCCCATCTCGTCGCCCCCCTTGGCTCTCGCTTGCAGCGTTGGCAGGTGGGCCTTGCCATTGGAATCTCCCATCCGTCCTGAAGCCATCATCTCCTGGATGGACCAGGCAGGGAACAGACACAGTCGGTCACGGTGTGGACAGGCTTCCGCGAGGAGTCGGTGCTGATGCGAGGACTTGGACGAACACGGAGATGTTCGTCGAGAGCCACCGTGGTCGGTCTTCGGAGAGAGGTGCGAGACCACAGTTATTGTGCCTCAACTTTGAAGTGCAAGACATTTGTCATTTGTGAGACATCCTTGGGTAATCCACATGCAGCGTGCTCGTTTGTAGACTCATCTCATGCCTTCTGGTTCTCAATTTTCACATCGTCATGGTTTGCCCATGAGGCTTTCATGATCTGTGGCCGCGCACCGAACAGACATGTCGCTGCGCAGCGCATGTTTACATGTGTTCTTTTAATCGATTTCGCGGGGATGAAGGTATCAGATGCATTCCTATCCGGAAAGATCAGATCTGATCTTGCACCAGATTCCGTCTTCCGATCCGTCTTTCGGATTGGCACACCCGTTTTGCCACACCATGCCGCCACTTCACTTCAGCCGTTCGGCTCGGTTTCCGGAATCCACTCCCTGCAGGTGCTGCCAAGGCTCGGTGTCGCAGCTTGACCAGTCCACGTCCCCGGCCGGAGCGGAACCAGCGAACAGAAAGAGTCGACCGACGGGTGGACCAACGGAAAGCAGTGCATGTTCAGTCTGCGGTACGGTGAGAGGGTATCCAGGATCATGTGAATCATGTGCACTGACCCATGTACGCTAACCTGAAGTGCCAAAACATCTCCCCGAAACCCTTGCCTTTGGAATGATGTGGAGCGTGCCCAACCGTGGGTCTGCAGCCAAGCGAAAGGTTCACTCCATTTGCAGAAGGGCCAATGTGGAGATCTTTATTGACTTTATTGTTTCCGTTTTCACTCTAATGTCATTGGCTTGTCTAACAGGGTCTTCACTTGCCACCTGGTGCGCTGAGCTGAAGGAAGAATCTAGGCCTGGCCGAGACTGGTTGAAGTCTGCCGAGGGACCCGAGCCAAGCTGCAAGCACCCAAGCGGACTTGCCAAGAAGACTTTTCCTGTCAAACACACAACACACACAAGCAAAAGTACACACACACACAGAGAGAAGCACACAGAAGCACACAGAAGCACACAGAGCACAAGCAAGCACACAGAAGCAGTAGGGTCTTGGCCAGCTTGGTCAGCTGTTCATTGGGAACACCAAGTGGCGGAGTCCGGTCCCGCGACCATGGGTCCCAAGTGGCGGACGTGGGCCAAGGCGGCTTGGCTCGGGGGCGACTTGATTGGTTGCAGGTTTGAAGGTTGAAATCATGGCATGAAGGTCAAGATCATGTTGTGTTTTCTTGGTTGAGTGCTGAAGGTGAAGATGCTTCTAGACTTCTAGACTTGAGATCGCATGTTTGGTTGCAGTGTTCATGTGGCAAATCCAGACATTTTTCCGGATGGGCTTCGGGTGTCGCCTGGCTTGGTCTGCTTGGAACGCACCTCCTATACCAGGATTGAAGGGTCCATCATTGGTGATCTTTGTATCTCTTTGTTCATTCTATGAATTCCATGCATTTCTGACGGCTTTTGGTGAGACAAACAACCTCACTTTCCTTTTTGTCCCTCTCAACAGTTATAGCATTAGCAGCGCTAGCAGCTCACCCGCACCATCCCAGGATCTGTTGTGCAGCTTTCCGATGTAAGAACTCTTGGGGGATCTGAAGCCGGTGAGCATGGCTGTTCACACCTGTCTTTCTCCTCGGTGAGGCTGCCTGGGTGGCGGTACCACCCTTGATCTTCATGAAGGCCCGGATGATCCGGGGTACAGACACAGTAGAGGTCTCCCAGGTCTCCCCACCGTGGAGGTGCGAGCCGGGTACAGGTTTCCTTAGGCAACAACTCCACTCCTCAAGGCGAAAGCTCCGATCTCTCAGCAAGGAGCCACACACAAGGATTTTGGCATTGCTGGCTTATTTTTGATCTATCAGCCGCCCTGTTCCTCCAGCCAACACATGATGACACGCTGTAAATATGTCGTGTCATGAGATGCCGAGGATTGACCGGATGTTTTGTTTTCTTTGGGTGCAACAGTAGTTTGTGAGGTTTGGAAGGCCTCCCGTAGAAGGTGAAAGCTGAGGCCAGCTCCTGCCACTCAAGCAGGGGCGAACAAGGTATGGCCAGTTCCCTCGAAGGCAACCATGCCACCCTCCAACTGGAAGGTTGTTCTCAACTTGATTTTCTTGGACATATAAGTACAGATGAGGGCATGAGACGAGCTTCTGTTTCAACGCAGCTCCGGCTCAACAAGTGAGTTTTTTGGCGTGTTGCATTCAGTTTTTCTGACAAACACGACCTTGCAAAGCCTGAAAACAGTGCGGAAGAGCCCGAGTCTTTATATAGATACTATTATATATATATAATATATATATATATAATAGTATACATATATATATATATACACCTAATCATTCCAAGCACCATTGGCACCATTGATTCAATAAGCTTTGCCAAACAACCATTGTTTTACTAAGGACTTTACACTACAACACCAGATCAACCATTTTAAACATGGTCTTGGACTCCCAGGGTGTATATATATATATATAGATACACACATGTTTGTGAATTACTCATTTACAGTAAGTTATATATATATATAACTGGGTGATCGCCAGTCCACACTGAGGACCGCTGGATGTGGGTCTACTGCGTGGAGGGTCGGAGCATGACTCCCACCCTGAACCCGCAGGCCAGGATCTGCGATCAGCTGCCCCTGGAGGTAGATCCTTTTTTGGTTTTGCAAATCGAGACGCTTTTCGTTTTGAGCTGTTGGCTTTTTGAGACGCCGCTAAAGGCTGACGCCTGTTTCATTGTTTGACTCCTTGGCCGACCCATTCGCCTTCTCTGTGCGACACCGAAGCTGCGAAGACCTGGCTCTTCAGCCGCCGTCGGCTCCTCTCGTCCCGTTCGGTCATCGCCGACCTCGTCTCGTTGCACGTCGAGGAGTCGTTGGTGGATCGATGCTTTCGAGACTATGTGCTGGTGCACCGGTCGCTGAGTCCCAAGGGTGGAGCGTGGCCGCGCGGAGCGCGTGCTGAACCGACCGGGTGCGGTGCCCGGTCAGTTCGGAAGAGCTATAAGGACCACGTCGGTTCTCCGACAGGTCTTTTTTGGAGTTCCTGAGGACTTGCTCAATACATTCAATACATTCATGTAAGGTCAAGCTTGGGGCTTTTTGGGGCCTATGGAGATGCCGTTGGGAGGGAAAACCATGACTTGTGAAACTGGCCAGCAAAGCACTGACACAGTGAGGAGTCACAAAGGGAAGAAAGGAAGCTCAAAAGTTTAAAGGTCTACAGAGTCATTCCCTTCGCAAATACTAGATCCTTTGGACCCTTGGTCTACAGAGTCGAATGAAATCATTAGAAAGAAACATTGACGAGTCGTCCTGTGGGACCCGTCCGATTTCGGGACACGTGCGACGTGCCGTGTCGACACCAGGAATGCCGAGCTGCGGAAGGGCGACATCGTGTTGCTTCGGGCCCGGGCGGTCGAGTTGAGCTCACATCGGGTTCGGTCGCGATGAGAGGGAGTATAGGCGCAAGTGAAACAAATTGGTTCAGACTTCTAAGACTAGAATCTACCCAAGGACGCTACGATCGGGGCTCCTGGCCTTACTACTAGGAACAAGGTTCGCTACTGTTAGGGGCTCCTGGCATCGCTACCGAACGGAGCGATCGGACGCTACGAATGGGGCTCCTGATCGGCTTCCCCGTTGGAAACACCGAGAGCTCCCAGGATCCAGGCACCAATGAGCTCATCGTGAAGCGACTCGTGGCCCAAGAACGTGAGGCACGTGGGCACGAGTGGCACGTGGCACGGCGCAGCAACGGCCATGGTGTTTGGTCTGGTGCCCCCCTTCACATAGATAGATAGATAGATAGAATCATATGCCTGTATAAAAAGACTTACACACATACATAGCCCATAGCACACCCCAACTGTGCAGCAGCCGATTGTCCCATGTGTGTTTTAAGAATTGGATCCTAAGGAAGGACTGCGGCTCCAAATACGGCTCACTCCACAGCTGGTACAAGGACCATTTGACCTCATGGATGAAGTTGCAATCTTGGTCATGTTCGACCGAAACCAGCAGTTATACTGTATCCACAACATGGGGAGATGCCAACATGGGCTGTGGTTCCGCCCGCTTCGTGCGAGCGGATTCCCGTGCTCGAGGTCGTCTCCGCGCACTCGGGACGCCTCTTCGTGCCCGAGGGTCATTGCTGGGCCACGTGGCAGAAGGGCGGCATCAACGCGTCCGTTGGGGTGAAGCCTCAGAGCCTTCCATGATTTTCCGAAGAAAAGGAGCAGATCAGATGGTCATAGTTAGAAGTTAGGACTGGGACTCACTGGAAAGTTCAAACTTGCCAATCACGGGTCCATTAGTCCAGGGAAGAAAACTACTGCACCCAACAGGGTGGTGGTTGCCATCTTCCTAAACAAATCCATTGCAAAGAAGGAGCTGTTCACCCTGACGCTTACTCAAGCAAGATGGTCACCCGCACAAATCAACAAGGCGGCAACCCCTTTTTTTTCATTCAGATGGCTTTTGACTTCCGAACTGGAAGTTGGATTCCAAATGACTCATCTCCGATTTCAACCTTGGGGCACCGATCTTTTCCAGTGGATCTGAAGCTCAGGAGCTCCACGTCGCTCCACCCGACTGACGTCCGAAAGAACGGTCGGTGATCGGCGGAGGTGGAGGGTGACAATGGGCGCTTGAGCGTCGACTCGCGCTCCTTCGGTGCGGTGCCCTCTGGACTGCTGGAAGGCTTGGTCCTCTCAGTGGCCGCATGGCAGCAAGGGGACGAAACGCCGGAAACGCCGTTGGCCGTTGAGCGGCTCCTGTCGTGGTGGGGAAAAGCAAATGTTTCGGATGACATGAGAAATTGGGATCAAACATGGACTGCTGTGAAGCCCTTCATACCTGTGTGAGTATACATGCGTTTGAGGTTTTTCAGCACTAGCATTCACTTCTGAGGCGACTTTTGGATTTTAGATGTGTGTGGCAAGTGACGTGACAAACTTGCGTATTTCAACGCATACACAAGAAAGGGGTCCACGATGAAGAAAGAATCCAGTTGAGGGCATGAGGGTGTGGCCACGCATGCTCGGGCGCCAGCTTTTGCCTTCCATGGCTTGACCAATGCACTTTGCTGCACGGCTCTTGGGTTTTGGGGATTATAATAGCAGAACGCAATGGGCCTCGCAGAACATTGTTTGGTGTGGGAACGCTACTGCAAGTAATACTGCCAAGCACCCCTGGCGCCGCGCTGGCACATCTGATATTTCCCAAGTGAACCTGTGGTTTTTCTGTTGGACCTTTTGATAAGCAAGTTCAAGAGCACCGTTCCTTTTTTTTTTGTGAACCTGAAGGGGCTTTTCCTCCTTTTGTTGTGGAGGTCTGGCCCTTCTGGCGTGCACGTTGGCTGGAAGAGATGGCTTCTTGGCACAAGTTTTGGCGCTGCATTCGGCCCCAGACATGGTGTGCACTACACCCAAAGAGGGTCAAGAGACCTGTCTTCTTCATTTGTCTCTTCATCATCTTCATCCCTCACAGGATTCGGATGGCTCTTTTCTTCACCGACAATGACTGAGTGCAGATGTTCCCAAATCCCGAGACGAGACCTCTGAGGTTGAAGACCAATCTCCAGAGGTGCCGTGTGGGGCAGAGCTCATGCAGTTTGGACGTTCTTTTGAAGGATGATTCCGAAATGGCTCGTTGCCAGGAGCGGATGAGGGTCATGGCGCGGAGCTGAGGGGAAAGCTTCAAGGGGGAGCTTCTTTTCCAAGATTTGTGTTGCTTCTTGTTTTGCAGCTATTTTGCCTCCAAGGTCACCTCACATCTATCTTCAGGCTCTTTTTTCTGTGCCAAATCTGCTTCGGATTCACGTCTTGCATGCATCTCTAAGCTCACAGGACATGTTTAAAGGCCCAACAGAATTGATTGATGAAGAATAATGTATGCGGATATATGGGCAGGTGTGATTTCGGAGTAAGGGTTGTTGTCTTTCTATGCAGCGAGGGGTTTCGCCACCGCCCTGGTGGTGGCAGTGGCGGTTCCATTGCGATGCCGTGTGGGGCGATGCTGTCTCAACATGTGAACCGTTGATATCACGTCTCTTTGCATCGAAGACGTGCCGGAGGGACCAAGGGACCCTTCCTTCTCCTCTTAGATCTCACGTGAGAAAAATTCATCATTCAATTCAGGGACCCTTCCTTTTCTCCTTTCAGATCTTTCTCTTTCCCTTTCCGTTTCTCTCCCTTCTTCTTTCACTGGAGCCCTCAGACCTGGTGGCATTCCCACTGAGTTCGTGTTTCGTAGTGGGCATGTGACCCCTTTGCCTTGTCACGGGAGCCTGTCTACCGAACGGATGGATGTATGGAAAAAACCATCCGCATATAAAAAGACCTGTCCCCTTCTCCCCAGCATGAAAAAAGACTTGGCCGCGCAAAAAAGAAACCACCACCCCTCGCAAGAGGAGGCCCCCAGCACAAAAAAGTAACCATTAGAACCGCCCGCATAAAAAACCATCAACCCCGAGCCGTCCGCGCAAAAAGAAACCGTCCGCGTACAAAAGGAATTGTCCGCATGAAGAAGGAAGACACCCCAGCCACCAAGCAGATGAAGAGGAAACCTTAGAGCCCCCCAGCATGGAAAAAGAGACTTGTCCGCATAAAAAGAACACACCCAGCATGAAAAACAATAAACTTTGGAACCGCCTGCATGAAAAAAGAACCTGTCACCCCGCCACAAGAGGAAGGAAGAACATCACCAACATAACGCCGTCCGCGCAAAAAAGAGCCGTCCGCGCAAAAAGGAACTTTCCGCATAAAGAAAAAAGCACAACCTAGCCACTAGCAGAAGAAAAGGCCACATTACAGCCCCGAGGAAAAGAACAAAAATATGTCTGGATATACAAAGAACCCACCAACCCCCACAAGAGGAGGCCATCAGCATAAAAAGAACCGATAGAATCTCCCAGCATGAAAAACACTAGTCCGCGTGAAAAAGGAGCCCACCAACCCCCGCAAGAAAAGCGAGGAAGAGGAAGGAACTCCCGCAAGAGGAGGGCAATGAAGAACATGGCGACGGCAAAATTCAAAAATCAATAAAAGGATATCCCGAATTGGAAATAGAAAATGACGGCAAACCATATTGAATCCCCCACCATAAAATACATATATCGTCGCATAAAGGAATATCCATACAAAAGGAACCCTCCCACCTGCAATAAAACAATAACTATTAAAACCCAAACAACAAAAATAAATACAAATATTAAAAAGAATTCCCGCCACATAAAAAACAATAATTCTGCACATAAAAAAGGAATTACCCGCAATAACTTCACTATAAAACTTTGGAATTTATCTATATATATGGAGAGATTTTGAATGCAGGTGGAACTATCGACGATGATGATGAATAAATATGTATATATATATATATATTTCAATTTGAATATACTATTTGATGTTTTTTTGAATTATATTATATAATTCTATAATGTAAATGATAATTTATAGGATTTATATATATATATATTGTTTTTTTGAATATGTTTATTTTATTGGAATTATATATATATATATTTATTTTTATTTATGAAAGAGGTGTAAAAAGATTTATATAGGATTATATTTATTTTTGGATATTTTTATTGGATATATACAAATAAATATAGATATTGATATAATGTATTTAGGATATATGGATATTCCTGAATAATGATTGTTATGGGAAAATTATTATTATTTTTTTTTTTTTTTGGTTTTTTTTTTTTTTTGTTTGATAATATGGGGCTGTAAAATTATTTTGGCGGATCGATGAGGATTAATATTTTGGAAAATAATGAATATTTGAATATAAATAGAATTTTATTTTTGAATGTGTAGCGAAGGGTGCCCGTTTAGGTTTGGGGGCAGGGCTTTGTTTGCGAATCATCTTTATATATGCGTAACCATTCGACGCCGCTCGCCGTCGCAATTCGCATTGTTATTGGGGGGCGCTATTGGTAATGATTTGTCATGAATGTATGACGTATTAGATTGCGACGTTATTACGTTGTAATTTGATTGTAATAGACGTTTTCGCTCCATAGGGACAGCATTTGGTGAGATTTGTAGATTGTTGCGTAGTGCCATTGGGATTCGTGTTTGGAAAGTGGTATTTTTGGGGTGTTGGATGTGACTTTACCGTTGGAATTTATGTTTTAGGGTGTGACATCGAAGTTTTATTTTCGTGATAAGTCTTAGCTGAAGTGCCGATTTTGGTGGATGGGAGTGTGCTTAGAGGATCGAAATCATTCGATACGTGTGGTGTGGTGTAAATTTTGTTGAAGCTCATATGAGATGACATTCTTACTTTTCGTGGCAGGCGCAGGACTTTGTGCGGGTTTTGAGGTATGGAAGTGGGATTTTCTTTCGTGGCACGCATAGGGAATCGTGAGGTTGCGATATGAGACGGAGGTGACATCTCGTAATAGGCACAGTACTTTGTGCGCGTTAAAAGTGTGGACGCGGAAAGATTCGCGGCAGGTGTAGGGAATGTCGCTGTCGCATTGGGATTGGCATGTGAGCGGGTGTCGTTTGGAGGGGTTGGAATCGCGAAACTGCTTGGTAGGGTTGCGTGATGTATGGGCTCCGATGGGTGTTTCCGCTGGACTTTTGGAGGAAATCTCGTGCGAAACGTTCGTTTTGCAGACTTTGACATGGGAATTTTTGAGGAAGTTTCGCACGAAACACTCGTTTTGGGGACTTGACATGTGACTTTTGGAGGAAGTCTCATACGAAACGCTCGTTTTGGAGACTTGACGTG